AGAGAGAGAGAGAGAGAGAGAGAGAGAGAGAGAGAGAGAGAGAGAGAGAGAGAGAGAGAGAGAGAGAGAGAGAGAGAGAGAGCAAAGCAACTTGCATTCCAATTTCTCAAAGCTCCACTCTGCATTCATTCCATCTTTGTGGCAGGCAGAAGCCAAAACAGGCCAACTTGTCGCAGGGTAGAAGAAGTGCCCATTACTACCCTTTGCTACTTTTGTCCACCACAAGAGATCTGACAGGATATCCTTAGGTTCCTAACTTCTCATCTACCCCTCAAGACCCATAGGCATCGTAGAAAAGTTACCAAAACAACACAGGTCACTGCAGACCCCACAAGGCATCAACTGTGCAGTCAAATGCCAAAAAAGACCTGTCCACTATCACCATAGTCTAGGATTTAGATCACGATCATCAAAGTAGAAAGAATGTAGGACAGGAAGCACATTCTGTTGAGATCGATTAGCACAATCACAACAACAAGATACAAAGCAGCGGCACGGATGCAGATCTCATGATGAGGCACACGTCCTGGCAAGAATTCGATCTACCGTGATGGCTCAAGCTGCCACAACTTTTTTGAAGGCCACATCCAACCAAATGCCCTCATCCGTTGTTGAAAGGAAAATCGAATGTGGTACATGCCATGCCTTCGGCATTCCATTTGGGATGGGATTTACTCCACTGGAGTCACCCGCGCTACGTTTAGAGGAAGTTGACACGAATCTAGTCGATTTTATGACCACGTTGATTTTATGACCACGTTCATGTTTTCTGAACACCAACAGCATGAGTTCTCTTTTCCCATTGGCTGACCAGATCCTCAGGACAAAGTCGGATCGACTCCTCATGGACATGATCGGGTTAATTCCATTGGTCCACAGACTCCACAAGCCTTAGCGTTACGTTAAATTCCTTTTGTCTCCGGGTGGCTGCCAGCCAAGCACAGAAGTATAGAACTGCAAACTGAAGAGAGGCACATCTTCTTCCAAGGCCAAGCATCATTCGGCACATTTTCTTCTGTCACTAACGCAATCACTCATGGTTGCCACCTCTTCTCATGCAATTATGATTAGGATCGGGACAAGGTGGAGATCAGCACAGACAACCATAGGTGCAGACACTGCAAAGTTATTGGCATGCACTTGGGCGAGTTATTATTATTATTTTTTTGAACTACGCAGCCTACATTTATATTATTCTCTCAGCTTCACCTCTCACTACCTACCTACCACAATTCCTATGCCTATACAAGGGAACCCCGCAAGCATAGCTACGCCTCACAATCAAGGGGATGCATGTTGGCCCCCGCCCTAATCAGCGGTGGTCAGGGAGTAGGGCGCGGCCGCCGTTGGGGTGGGGTTGGGGGTGGGGGGTGGGGGTGGGGGGGGGCGGCTGGCTAATGCAAAGACCGAGCATTTTGCCAGTACCTGAGAGAAGAGTGAAGGAAAAAAAATGTCCATGCCAAAACGTTCTCACTACCCCCCAGAGGGGTGCCTTAGCGTACCTGGATCGAATCTCAGCTTCAGCAAACGTACGGATAGAATTCTCTGGTATCCCAAGTGCCTTTCCAAGAGCCTGAGGTTCAAAACCACATACAGGGGAACATGGAAAAAGGAAGGACACATAAATAGTCACAATATGGCAATATGCAATGCACATACTTTTCACGCACGTTAAGACATGCAGAGAATTATCACCAAGTGATTTTATTGCCCTCCTTCTTCCCAGTACACAACAAGGATACCAATACAACTGCTGGCCGTTGAACAGTTTTTCAAAAGTTGGATGCCTTACCCTTACTCGTTGACAAATGTGCCAACCTGCCCAGTTTCAGAACATTATCCACAACTGTTTCTGAACATTATCCACAAAACTCTGATACAGTACGCAGTGCAAGCAATGGAAGACAGGCACAGGAACGATGTGCTTGTCAACATAATTCTATAGAGTCCGATTACCAGCGCTTGGAGCATGGCAGTGGTTTCCTCATTCAAGCAATACTTGGAAGTTAGAACCCCCTTTGAAAAAAGCATGTAAATGTCGCCATCAGAGATGATAATGTAGTTGGCGAACAGTACTGTAATCCACAAGATCAGAAGAATGAGGAAAGGCTCCACAGCATTCACATACAAGCAGAGGTGGAACGGGGAGAAAGACTTGGGGAGGGGTTCTTGTAGCATTCAGAATTTGAGGGTCGAAATCAGGACTCATTTATCAACAGTTCCCAGCACGTGCTGCTCCCACGCATAGACTGGAGCAATTGTCTCCCCCCCCCCCCCCCAGGAAAAAAAAAAAAAAAAAAAAAAAGAAGCAGCTAGTTTTGAATCTACAGAGGAAAAAGATGGGACACAAATAGTTCCACTTCAAAAACCAGTGCCGGAGAGGTCTCCAGAAGCCATCGCCGGTCAACATGGAGGCTGCAGCAAGCCCCTGCTTACCAAACCCACATGGGGCACCAGCGGGGTGAGCGAAATTTCGAGTACCCCAAAGTAAGTGACTCGGTGATTTTATTTCTCATTTCCGTTGGACAAAAAACTTCTGAAAAAGAAAAAGGATATGGGGAAGGTTCCGCTGTAGCGGGAAATAACATCAGTACCATAGTATTTTTAAAATTTGCCCACAAAACAAAATTTGGCACAAACTGATAGTCGTTGTAACCTGGTAGGCCCAATGTTTCACGTCAGCAGGCCAGGGCCAAGTGGGTCATTCCGAACTTAAGAGTGACTGAACCTCCAAGAGTACTCCCGCGCCTGATACCCTGCCTCTACAACAACCTGGGCGTTTAAAATTAAAAAAAAAAAAAAAAAAAAAAATCAGTTTGACAAAGTAGGACTGGAGAGACTGGTGGCGAGTCCTCTTCTACCTTTAGGATTTGAAGCCGTGACCTGTATACTTTTGAATCTCGTTGCTGCCACAGAGGTGAGTCCTCCTTTTTCTACCATTCACGATTGAGCTCATGACCTGTTTGCCAACAGCTACATGTGTGTACCTCACCATACATGTTCAAAGACCATTCCTATCCGGACACTCCCTGAGTACCTTTTTTCGGTAATTTCTATTCGGTTACCCACTCTATAGCAGCACCCTTCAAAATTAAAAAAAAAAAAACCTAGTGTGACATCTATAAATTTGCCACCATGCTGTATTCGCTTGTCCCTACCTTGTAGGGTGGGCATCCTTTCACTTACCTCGCAACGCTTCGGATAGATCTCTAGAATACTATCCGAGTACGACTCCGCCAGGCGTTTGGCTCTTTCCAAAGTCGCCTTCAACCTCAGCGCCCACATCCTTGTGTCCTCCTCTTTGCCTATGAAAGTGGAAACAAACAAAAAACAAACGGGCAGCAGTCATGAACATGGAAAAGTCAGGTATGCTGCTCTTATATATATAACACATAATAATAGTCATTTGCCAACTCAACTTGTGATTCCAAATGTGCAAAGACGACAGATTCATCTTGGTTCACTTGCACAAAAAGGTGGTTGCTAATGCAACTGGTAATTGAAATGTGCACAGAGCGATTAATTAATAATTATACATGTCAATTTTGGTGCCATTGTCTTCTTACTTTCAATTGTACTCGCTTGCTTGAAACTGCCCTTGCATGAATCGACCCCTGAGGTTCATTCCACACTACCTGCTAGAAACTTCCCTCGACACCCAGCAAAATACCCATATGTTCAGTTTGCAGAATGCCATTAATACCAGAGTGCAAGCTACAAGCCTCAGTTCTCTTCTCATCTTTTTCCCTCCACACTATCAAAATACAGTGTTGCCTGTTGGTACAACTCCCCGAACAAGCACTACCAAAACAAACCAGCACAGGAAATACTCTGCACGAACAGCGCTGGCCCTGACCAGATGTCCAAGTCTGGAATCCAACGCCATGCTACTTAGCAGTAGCAGAATTATTCCTTTCCGCAAGGCATCAAGCACATCAAGATCTATGTCTGTGAAGTAGTGTGAACAAATGTGTGTGTGTGTGTGTGTGAGAGAGAGAGAGAGAGAGAGAGAGAGGAGAGAGAGAGAGAGAGAGAGAGAGAGAGAGAGAGAGAGAGAGAGAGAGAGAGAGAGAGAGAGNAGAGAGAGAGAGAGAGAGAGAGAGAGAGAGAGAGAGAGAGAGAGAGAGAGAGAGAGAGAGATTCTGCCAAACAGTCTCAAGGCTGAAATGGTCTGCATGGGCCAAATAATTTCCATGCCCCGGCACAGGCTACAGTTTCTCATAGTACTTACAGCATATCTGTATGGCAGTCCCAAAGTAGAGGCCCTGTCGGGCAGGGCTTCAAGGTTAAGCGGCAAAGGGTTTAGCACGACAGAGTGTATTTTCAAAAGAAAGCTTTTAGCATGACTATTAATTCATGGTGGTGTGATGCTGCAATCAGTGCCCAATCTTGAAAAAATTGGAGATCAGGCAACAATCACATCTATCACTCTACCTCAAAATACAACAGCCACGTTTTTCTGAGGGTTCAGGAAAGTCTGAACAGTAAACCTTAAGCGAAATTTTCGCTCTTTCACATTTATGTTCTCTTACTAAGAATTGTGAGAATGTCAGTTTGGAGATGGGATTAGTTGTTGACAAACAGATCACGAGTTCAAATCCTGAGGGATACAATAATGTTACGGAACTTACGGGTTAACCCCCTACTAAACAAAAAAAGGGCACTTCAACAGATTGGCCCAGCTTAGTAGGACCTGTCCTTGAGCTCTTCGCCTGTGTGCAGAAGATCAGACAGGATAAATCATAATACTATAATAGATCTTCCAGTATACGTTACAGGCTGGGGAAAACTTTAAAGTTTAAACTCTTCTGCTCTCCTTCCTTATTCTTTTCTTCTTCTGTTAAGCCTTGATTTACGTGCAGTTCAAGGTATGGTACTAACCACTAAAAAAAGCTTTGGATCTGATCTGCACCAGCCTGACAGACAAACAGAACCTTCAAGGGACTGTTGGGAAATTACTGGAACTGGTGCCCATATTTCAAATCTTAAATGATTCAGTACTTGAGTCTTGGACATCCAGACCAATTGCTACACTTCTTTTTATGTGGCCCAATGGGCGACGGATCAGATATTAAAACGATCAGAAGATTCAGAACAAATACTACGCTTAAATCTTGCGTAGCCAAAACGTCAAGAATTGCTAGACTTAAATGAGTCCTCACCATCCTTTTCAATGATTCCCGCTGCTTGCCATGCAGATAGTTCATTTTCGATAGCAATGCATTCTGCTTGGCGCCACCCAGAGAGCCCCAGCTGGCGTATACCAAGAATGGTTGCGCCAAGCGGATGGTTATAGTTGCCCACGCTGCCTTGCCGTACACCTTCAGCCAATAGCGCTGCACCGCCAGCGTCGTTCAAAGCATTCAAGAACCTGCCAGCCAAGCAGCACCAAGGAAGGGGTGTGAGAAACGCTGCACCTCTCAATGGAACCACCACAGACTGCACACTGCAATACGGAAAAGGCAGACTAGCAAGGGAAGAGGTAGCAGGTCATGGAATGATGGAATCCATATTCAAAGCCTGCAAGTGCAATGTTAAAAAAGAGGGAAGGACAACTACTTTTCTTCTCTTGGTTCTGGCTCCATATCCGTTCCATTCTGGGGAGCGACAGTCCGGTTCCTATTCCCCCGGCAAGTCAATACGGAAATACATGGGCACCTTTTCTGTTAAACTTGTGCCAAGTACAACTATGCCTTGAGAACTGAGAATTGCCACTTCAATTAGCTCGCTCCTTTGTGTGCATGAACGCGAGGTCCAGTTGGGAGTGAAGAATTCAAGTCTCTCAGTCATCTTAGATCACAAACGTTTGTTAAATTATTACATGTGGCTTCGAGTGTTAACATGTTCGTCGGCGCAGCCCAGAACCACTCATGCTCGAGCTCGAAGTCAAATCTCCGTTTTTGTGTCGCAAACGGAGCTGCACTGGGAATTCATGTGTACACAAGTCAATTGGCTCAAGATGTCGTTCCGTCTACTTCCGGCTTCGCATCCAATAGAGAGGATTCCATATTTGATGGAACGAATGCACAAGTTAACAAGGGCCTGCAGTTACCAGCCGTGAGCTCCGCATACTACCGTCTTCCCCTGAACATACATATATGTGTTGTATTTTGAGTTTCTTAATTTGAAAAAAACAAAAAGAATAGAAGGCATATGCGTTATATTCAAAAAATAGGGATATTCGAATAGAACATGAGTGTGTTGTATTCGAATAGAACGCACTTTATGCATATTTGTTTACAATGCATATGCGTTATGTTCGGGGGAAGACGGTAGCAGGAGCAGTGGCGACCGAACGAAATGACATCTTTGCAGCTGACTACTGACCTGCTAAGGAGAACAAACGCATAGTCCTCGAGCCCAATCTCTGAAAGCCTCCACTGCAAGCGGACAAGGCAAGATGATCCGTATCAGAGAAAAATGCAACAATGGCAGACCAGATCATGAATTGCTCGTCTCTTATCTTCCCATCTAGTTTTCTGTAACACGACCATCGTTAAGAAATTGTGAAAAGTGTTACACCTAGCTCCTGTCTTGTGACACACACCGTGTCGCTGTCTTTTATCAGAAACAAGGTTAGCAACCTCATGTCCATGCGCACGATGAATGTGCAACAGCCAAAGACGCAGCAAAGCACAATAGACCCCACTGTTGCGGTGTGCATGGTGTGCACACAGTGCCGCACACCAAAACAAAAACGTAAAAACAAAAATTAAATTTGAACAAAAATTATCTGAGGTGGCAACGAGCCAGGGGAATGTCAAAAAGTACGTCAAAATGAGTCAAAAATAATTTCAAACTTCAAAGCAAAATCAGACAGGAATTCCGAAATCGTATTTTTCATGTGTCAAGTTATATCCTTGCACAGCAATTTTGAATTTTGAAATTTGAAATTTTGCCTTCTCTTTTCTTTGCCCTTCAGGATAGTTTGGAAATGGCTAGTAGCAAGGAACGCACACGTGAGGCAATCGACCAGAACATGAGGGAGGGAGGGAAGGGACAAAGTCAAAAGACACTGGAAATTTGCTGGGAAAACATATCGAAATGCTGTTAGTATAGATGGATGTCAATAGTTGATACTGGATAGGCCATCTTGGCAAAGGAAAAAAGTTCAAAAAACAGAGCATGTTCCCTCAAAGAGGGAGAGATTTCTCTAAATGACAAAGAAAACTCGAGGGAGGGGGAGGGGGGAGTCACCATGTAGTAAGTAGAGTTGGAACTGAATCTACGGATCATTTACGCAAAAACGGAACATGATTGAACATACGCATAGATGAGCATATTTTTTGAAAAAAGAATTATGAGGGGTTTCAGCCATGAAGAAAGGCAAGCGTGTTCTTTAAACTTCTTTTCCTTGGCTACAGGAAGACCCAGGCACTGCACTGATCTGGACACTGGAATCCAGGTCGCCAGGCCAGCATCTGAACATCTGCAACTGGTCTGGAACAACACCTATCAAAAAATAAAAATAAAAAAAAAATCCTCCTTGTACTTTGGGACAGCCGTTAAAAAACAAAAAAGACATTGCAATGATACGGAGAAGATTAGCATAGCCCCTGCCCCCCTGTGGAAGGGTGACACATAAATCCAGAAGAAGCAGTCCAAACAACTCCAAATTGTTTAAAAGAAAAAACCTCCTTTTTGAGGCTTTTTCTGAGTTTCTCCGATTACTTGCGAAAGTGGTTGGGAATTTCAAGTTGACTCTCATTGAAAAGTTCCTCTTGAATCTCCTTTCCTGATTTCTTCTTTTTTTCTTTTTTTCAAGTGAACTCCTGCAAAATATCAAGGCATAGGGGGTCCGGCATCCGGCCATATCTTCCCCTAGGTCCAAACTGCCTGGCTAGACCCCACCCGGTCAAGGTCCAAATCAAAGGGCCAGAAAAAGATGTCCACGTCAATCTACCAACATCGCATCATCTCCCAAGTTCCCAACCATTTATCCAGACCCTGTTCAGATAAACCAGCCAGCCAATTCCAAATTTCCAACTCATGAAACATGGCCGGATGTCGGGCTCCTCTGCCGAGCAAAATAACAAAATTGAAACGCTCTCCTCTAAAAAAATCAGATTCTGATCCGCCACCCAGGCATTCACTAGCTGTGTGCCAGACAGACACCAGACCATCTGGATGATTCTCTGGATGTCCAGATGAGGGAGGGGACATCCATGTCAGCTCAGCAGCAGTGGAAGCCATGCCACCGAAGACGGAAAGTAATCGAGTTTACCTTGCAAGGGTACATTGAATCCGTTTGTGTACGGGGGGTACCAGTCAGTTTAGTCAGAGACTCTGAAGTTATCTATGGATGGCCATTCACTCATGCCAAGATTGAGTCTCTTTCATTTTCTACACGGCCCTTGATGAATCCAGACATCACTCCTTTTCGGAACTCCTTCAAAAGCTGATGTTATCAACCACACAAACTTCACAAAGTTAGATTGGCTGACTCCCATTCCTTGCTTCTTTAAGCCTTGCCCGTCTTTCCATTTAAGGCCATTGTCCATTGTTCTCAGTCCCATTTTGTGGGTAGAACTCTGAGTCAAAAGTGAACAGGCCAGCTACATGTGCATGGTATGCCTACGGATATCAGTCATGACTTAAAAGTTAAAACAGCCCGTGAAAGTCAAAGCATGGCTTCCATGAAGCAGAAGGGTAACGTCACAATGATTGGTTTCAGACGTGAAGTTGGTTTAGCATGGCTTCGATGAAGCAGAAGGGTAACGTCACAATGATTGGTTTCAGACGTGAAGTTGGTCTTAGATATACGTTACATCTCAAATCAGGCAGAGAGGCAGCTGTATATGTGCGCAGTAAGCCACGGCTGGGTCCATGCTCGATAGCGTGCCTGAGATGTATGGAAAGGGAGAGACTGGAGTCCGAAGCAAAACTGTCACAAACCTACACATCCTCTTTCTTTGTTTTTTTTTTTGCCAGGGGGCGGGGGGGAGGGGGCAGAGGGCTGGGGGGATCAAGGGGGACTGTGTCCTGGGCCAGAATTCAGAACTGTGTTTGGTCTATTACAGAGAAGATTGTACAGAACTTGCCTTTTGCCGCATTGCAACGGCTTCATCAGGGGCATCATTTCGTAACCCGCTCTCCAGTCCCTTGAGAAGTACTGCTCGCAGTCCCGTAAGCACATGCATTGTCGACATTAAAATCTCTAAAATGCCACCCCTCTGGTTCGCATCACGTGAAGCGGGAAGAGATTCTGCATCATCCAAACGCTGCAACGAAACACCAAATCACCCTTGTCAGACATTATGAAGGGGGACTGCAAACAAAGCAGAAAGGAGATGACGAAAAGTAGCCATAGCCGCAAATATTATCAAATAATCATGAAAACATAACTTGATAACTAATAAAAACTGAACAACACAAGACTCTAGTGCTACTCAGAAGAACTCACGTGTTCAAGCGCGGGCATGACTTCCATGCTGATGACAGATCAGCCACAAGAGAATGAAGTTCGATGAACATGTAAACAAACGTAGGAACCGATGGAGACAAAAGTGACACAAAAGAAAGAAGCCCGAACCTGGAAGAAAAAATATGAGCTTGAAATTGAGAGAGAACTTCTATGAGGACCGGTTTGGCAGAAGGACCGGCAAACTCCACCAAAACCTACACGGTCCTACAGTATATTCAGAAAGAGCCCATTTCTAGGGAGAGAAGAAAACAGAGCTCTGGAGATACAAGGAGTAAAGACTGACTGCATCATCGAGAAGGGCTAAAACATGAAGAAAGCAAATTACAAAAAAACGGAAAGATTGGGAGCGCAGAAACGAGAAAACAAAAAGAAAATGCGGGAGGAAGAAAAGTAAAGCTGTCTACCGCAAGGGCAAGGCTGACCCTTTTTCTACATCGTTTCCTTGCTTGAACTCATGCTTGCCGGTGATAAGAAACCGGACTGATGGTCCCCAGAATAGAAGGGGCTTTGTGGTTTGTTTGTTGGGTGGGTGGGTGGGGGGGGGAGAGTAAAGCTGTCCTTGTCAGACCAAGAGCCTCCCACTAGTCATAAACACATAGTCCACAGCATCACATACTTGGTTATTGGCCTTCAATTTCAAAGGCATCACCTATGAACAGACGGAATCTTGCATGTGAGACACTCTACCACATGGGAATTCATACGCTGCAAGTACAGCGGACTGGATACATGTACCTTATTTTGAGCATATCGGCCAAACCTATTGCACATGACGCATAGTACACTTGGCTTGGTGATCAGAGCAACAAACTCAGGATCACGCAAACCCATGATCGGGCAAACCCATGATGATACCAATTTCTCAGACAGACCCAGACAAGACTGTGTCCAATATCGCCTTTCACATTCTCCTATATTGAGTTCTTTCGTGAGATTCTCTCAGCCCATGCGAAGACCTACATAAGCTCTGGTAAACTTGGGCAGTTTGAATAGGGCAGGGAGAGGCGGGCACATCAGGGTAAAGGAAAGCTCCTATGCGCAGAACCCACATTTCCAGACACTGACCTTTTTCCGAGAAAGGAAGAGGTCCAATACAGCCAGGTCCTCAGGGTCCATAGAAGGTCGAATGCTCTCCAGCCGCTCTGCAAGGCTAGAAAAACGCCCACTGCCTCATCAGTCGACCAGTAAACACTGCAAGGACTGTCAGAAACCTACCAACAAACATACAAGTCATGCTGACAACTTCCAACATCTAGATTCTAGACTGCAGCAGCTACAGAAAGCCGCCACGAGGCTGGGGAAAGAGGGAGGTTTGGGGGGAAGGGGAGAGAAAGAGAGAGGAGGGAGAGGGAGAGAGAGGGAGGGAGAGGGAGGGAGAGCAGGGCAAGGAGAGAGAGGGAGAAGGGAGGAGGGGAGGGCGGGGGGAAGGGAAGTGAGGGGAGAGAGGGAGGGGGAGAGGGTTGGGGAGAAGCCTGCCAATGAGCAAAAAACATAAGGAAAAAAACATGGTCAGCAGTCATGGCTGCGGCCCAAAGACACCTCATTGTCGATTTAATGTCATTGACACGGCTGCTGACTGCTCATTTTGCACAGCTCATTCCTGACACTGGCTGACAGATGGAAAGCAACAACTCGTTTTCATTGGCTAAATCCCTATACGACAGTTGCTGTACAATCCACGCAGGACAGTCGATCCACACATTTTCTGGGAATTCATTTTCCAGCAGTCACCATGCGCCTCTGGTATTCTTGTTTGCAAGGGACTGCAGCCCTCTGGTACAATCCGGGCACAAGATGTTAAGGCATGCTCTGTTGTGGTCCAAGTTTACATTCCTAGCACAAGGCTTCTAGCCTATTCAGCAGCAGTGCAGGTCCAAGGTTCCACCACATCAAAAGGATGAGGAGACAACCTTCAGCAAATCGGGTAGGGACCTCTCTCTAGCATATCAGACCTGTTGTACTAAATACTAAATAGTAAATAGTAAATTCAACATTAATTATGTGTGGCTTCATTGCCTCCAGCTCTCATATTCAGGGCCAGTACCCTCCAAGGCTATACTTGTTGTACATGTATATTTAAACTGGCATAGGCTACATTCTTCCACCGAACATAACGCCTATGCGTTGTATTTGGATTTTTTAATTCGAATTAGACAAGAACAGCACCTTCTATGTTTTAGACCTATGGTCGACTTTTTTTCCAAATAGAATGCCCATTCAAATGCAACACCTACACATCTTCTTCAGATATAAAGCCGGCATTGTATTCGAGTTCATCACTTTAGAAAACACTTATTCCGAATAGTGCCATGCCAAAGAACGCTCTATCAGACCTTTTTTATTTTCATGGAGGGGCCCACAAGGTTCCACCCTGAGCTTCTTTTCATGGAGGGGCTCAGAAGATTGCATCACTTAATGCCAGCCTGCCCTTCACATCCGTGTCAAGAATAAGTATGTTAGGAATGTACTCTCAAATTACTAACAAATTAGCCAACTTTGTTCGAAGTACATTGATTTCTCAATTACACATACATCTATATCTCTATATAAATAATATAATATATATATATAATTATAAATTTTATAAATTTATAAAATGAAAAAAAAAAGAACTTGATATATTTTGACATGACAGTCTCGTTCCATATACAAATTCTTTGTATCCCTCGTGTAGTTTTCCATGGGGGATTAGCATCGAGCCGTGTGTTCCTTCCATCGCCACCTTGGATAACATAGAGCATGCAAAACGCAGACTAGTGTCATCTTTTGAACGTACCAGAACTTTTTTTCATTTTTTTAAATAAAAAACAGGTCCTTATTGTCCTGGCTCCATATCCATTCCATTCTGGGGAGCATCAGTCCATTTCCTATTCCACAGGGAAGTCAATGAACGTACCAGAACTTCTTTTCTTTTTTCTTTTTTGTTAAATTGAGTTGGATCCACCAGAGGGTGGGTAGTCTAAACCGTATGTGCTCATATAGTCCGTAGACTATTCCCATCCTTATCGAGGGAGATGCTAACCTTCTCTCAGCTCAACGAGCACACGTACCAGAACTTGACATTCCCCTTCAATTTTTTATTTTTTTATTTTTTATTTTATCAATTTATGTGTGTCATCCTTGCGCAGGGGCCATGCTAATCTTCTCTGTATCGTTCCAATTTTAACGGATGTCATCCGCGTCAAATTTTTGAATGTACCTGTCTTTGTTCCATAGCCACCTTGGATGAAACTGACTATGTGACATTCCGGGTAAAAAGTTATCTTTTTTTGAGTGTGCCAACTTGGATCACCTGAACCAAAAGCCTTACTAGTGTTCCCTAGTCATCCTCCTACTCTAATGGGAGAGTTTCTCCCGCAAGTGAGCCCTAGGTAAGATGGACAGGGTACATCAGTATTCGGTTTGGTGACTCTGGTCTGTATGCTTAATGACTAAGAAACAAATGACACATTGACACATATATTCCAAGAAGTCGCACTGAACTTGTCTGAAACAAATAAACCGCTCTATTTGTGGTATAATGTGGCACCTAGGTAAGAGGACACCTACACACCTGTTCGCATTGAAGAACTCCTTCAGTTCTCCATAAAATATCTGGAGCTGCTCAACAAATGCCGAACTGTACTCATTCTTCTTCGCTAGCACCCGATTAAGAAGCGCCTCCGTTGCTACCAAATCCTCGGGCCCTGCATTCCGGTGAAGCTTATTCTGGATAGTGTGTTTGATCTCTTGCTACGGTCAAAGCAGCGCAGGACATGGTAAGATTTCCAGCAAGCTATCAGCCTCTACTTCAGCCACAACAACAACACAAAACTCAGTGACTTTTCTGACTTCCCTCTTCACAATGATCTCAAACCCGAATCACAGAGTAAAGAATCATGTGTTCAAGGTGGAGTACACATCACCGCATGCCACACAATGCAACAACCACCACAGACTGTATAGCAGCAGCATAGACAGAAAAAAGAGGTAGAAGAATGAGACTTAGCTCCAACGAACATGACACAAAAAACACTCGTTTTTCCTTTTTTTTTCTTCGAGGCGGTAGCCCCTTACATTATTGTATCCACATAGTTGCAGTGCTGCTGCAAGCCAGTGCACTGGGACTGTGGAGATGATATGGCAGACACAGAGGACGTCAGACTTTCATAGCTAGGGTGAGAGGGAGAGAGAATGGTGGTCATAACCAATAGGAGATGCTGATGCACCATAGAACCAATAGGAGATGCTGATGCACCATATATAACGAGAGAAAATGGGAGGTAGGAGAGAAGAGTCCAAGGTTTGGGGGAGGAGGAAGCTAGCCTAGAGAGCGTTCAGCCATAGGTCTTTGCAGAAGAAGCCAAGAGGTTGCACGAGCTTGTCATTCGCTATCCAAGACTTAGAGCTGACAGTGTTGACCGGTCTAAGTCTGGCATCTTCAAAAAGAGGGTTTGTGGTGAATACCGGAGAAGGAAACCATCGACGGAAGGCTGGCAAGGAGGGATACACTCACTACCGGTAGTTGGCTGGCGGCTGTAGCTACCCGAAGAAGAAGACGCCAAAAGGAGGAGTGAGACGGCATCCATGTTTCCAGACTTCATTTTGTTGGCACTCGTGTTATGAAGAGAAAGTGTGGCGGCGGTGAGGTCAAGGGATACGAGGGAAGGTCACCGCAGCTACACGGTCCCCATGTGGTCATAATTGAAGAAGCAAGATCCATGCTGCTTGAGAGGACGAAACATTGTCCTCTCAAGTTCCAGCATTATTCCACTCGCCTTGCACAGGCCAGCACTGGAGAGAGAGTGGCTTTAAGAGTGACGTTGTGTCTGGTTGGCTGGTGAAGGAGCAGGCGAAAGCAAGCCAGTAGAGAGGTGATACATTCAGGAGGCAAGAGAGAGGACTCACTATGAAGAAGAGGGAGGATCAACTTGATAATTGTACTGAATTGTCATACTTTCAAAGATATCCCCATGCGCTTGATCTTCTTCATCACACAGTCTTGTCGCCCATTGCTATCTCCATTTTTCGTTATTATCATTGATTTCCCTGTGTGACTTGATTGTTAATTGCAGCATACTCACACTAGTACCTTCCTGACTGAATCTCACAGCTCTTGCAGCTTGCTGCATTCAGGAAAGTGCAAGTCTGAGGATACCGAACTTAGAAAAAGCCCTATGCCTTGAAATCGCCCTGCGTTTTGAAAACACCCTGCGCCTTGAAAACGCCCTATGCCTTGAAGAGACCCAGAATCTTGTCGGTACAAGAATCACAGGCATTGCCCTCTCTCTCTCTCTCTCTCTCTCTCTCTCTCTCTCTCTCTCTCTCTCTCTCTCTCTCTCTCTCTCTCTCTC